TCTTCATTTTACAGCTTCCTACTAATTAGTTGAAACTTGTGAAGCTGCAGAGTAGTGGCATCATGACACTCTCCATCAAAACACCTGTAGAGCACTCATACTCCTCAAATTGGTTAGAGGGCTCATTGCGGTCTACTGCAATGTCAGTACTGCAAATCCAACAACAATATAGTGCCCAGCTGTATTCTTTAAGCCTATTGCACATGAAACTAGTTGATGAAGACCTAGTTGTCGCTTTGCGAAACCTTTGTCAGATTTACAGTGAGGGGAAACAAGTATTCAGACACTTTTTTTTCTAATTTAATATACTTCTAGTGTATATATCCACCTCAAATTTACACACGTAATGGGCCAGATTAATTAAACGTGGTAGTAACCGCACTGTGCCATTTAAATTGTGCGTCACAATAAATAAGAGCTATTAATAAAGTCACCATGGTGGTGATTGAATATATATGTATATATAGTCTGGTTCCATTGACTTACATTAAAAGTAAAGTAGGTTTCTTTCTTCTCCTGACAACAGCGATATATATATATATATATATATATATATATATATATATATATATATAAAATCCAAAACCTTAAACTTCCAACTTCAAAAATGTACCCACTGGGGAGCCCTCACCACCTTCTAGGCCTTCAATGGAAGCCTAATGATTTATGTGCAATAAAAAAAATTTTTTTCTATGGTATCTGAGTAGAGACAGCCAAGATACCTCTCCCGTTGTTTAGAACTTCAGGAAAAAAGGCTTTACACATTAGATTAACCACTGACATAGTAGACTTCTGAAGTGGAGCTCAAGCGGTTTTTCTCATGGGGAAAAATTGAATGGCATTTCTGAAAATCATTGTTATCACACCCTGTGGTAAAACAGTACTGTTCTAGCAGAAATGAGCGGCATCGTACAGATAATTGTTTCTCGTTTTTTGACATAACTGAAGGCTGTGCTTTGCCACTGAAGTTACCAATTTGGAACTGTAATACCGAACTGTACTCCAATAGGAGTAGGATCGGTCAGACGGAGTGGGTCTGACCTTCTCTGAGTTTTCCTTGTTTTCTGCTGCTGCACAGAGACGACAAGAAGGACGGCCTCAAGTTCTACACAGATCCTTCTTACTTCTTCGACCTGTGGAAGGAGAAGATGCTTCAAGCCACCGAGAACAAGAGGAAGGAGAAGAGACGACAGAAGGTACACTGCGTGTGTGTGTGTGTGTGTGATGTCATGTATCCTAGTTTCTCCCATCTGACTTTTATCTTACTCAACCTACTCCTTTCTGTCTCACTACCTCTCTGTATCTCTCTCTTTCTCTCTCTCTCTCTCTCTCTCTCTCTCTCCTCTCTCTCTCTCTCTCTCTCTCTCTCTGTCTCTTTTCGCACTCTGGCTCTTTCTCTTTTTCTCCCTTTTGCTCTCTCTCTGTCTCTTTCTCTCTCTCTCTAACTCTCGCTCTTTTTCTCCCTTTCGCTGTCTCTCTTGCTCTCTCTCTCTTGTGCTTTCACTTTTTTCTCTCTCTTGCTATCTCTCTCCATGTCTCTTTTGCTCTTTGTCTCTCTAGCCCCTTCTCTCTCTTGCTTTTCTCTTTCTCTCTCTCTCTCTTGCTCCTTCTCTTTCTGCTCTCTCTCATTTGCTTTTCTCTCTTTCCCTCGCTCTCTCTGTCTCTGTCTCTCTCCCTCTGTTTTCTACTGCTCTTTTTTCTTTGCCCCCCTGTTAGTCTCTCTTTTATTCCCTGTCTCTGTTTCTCTGCTCGCTCTCTCTCTTTCGTCATTAGTTTTGCCAGGATTACAGCTCTGCTCCTCTTCGTCTGTCTGTGTTGAACTTCTCTAATCTGCTCCACTGACAGTGTGTGTGTTTTGACAGCAGCGCTGCCAACAGAGCAAGAGAGGAAAAGAGCTACGAGGAAAAGAGAATGAGAAGGAGAGAGAGGGAAGACAGAGAGGGGGAGGCAGAAAGAGAGAGAGAGTGTGTGTTTTGTACCGAAGTTGAGGAGTCAGCTGTGCAGTATGTCTGTAATGAAGTGCCGTTTGTGAGTGCAGTGCAGGTTTAAAATGGTACGCCTCTCCCCGTTATAGCTGAAGTGCTGAATTTTTGACAGGCACAGATGGCACGCCAGCAGACGACCCATTCTGCCACTCTCTCTCTCTGTTTCTCCCTCTCTGTCTCTCTCTCTCAGCAGCTGAACTGCACAAACTGAATAAAAAAGCACCAACATTGAGTCATGAATCTGTCCTTTTACTGTAGTCTGTCCACTCAAAACTGTTCACTGTAATTTCAACACAGGCATTGTTATAACATTAAATATGGTACATCTAGATCTTAACAAATAACTTTATACATTATAAACACTTAATGATCATTAAATGATTATTTTTGGGATACCACAGCAACCACATAGCAACACCCAAGCAACCAACTAGGATACCACAGCAACCACATAGCAACACTGTAGCAACCAACTAGGATACCACAGCAACCACACAGCAACACTGTAGCAACCACCAGGGATACCATAGGAACCACCTGTAACACCATAGTAAAACCCTAGCAACCACCTTGGATACCACAGCAACCACCTATCAACACCCTGTCAATCACCGCAGACACCATGGCAACCACCTTGCAACACTTAAGCATCCATCTTGGACACCATAGCATAACCTTGGCCACCAACTGGGATGCCATAGCAACCACTTAGCAAGACCTTTGTAGCCACTACAGAATCACAGTAATTGTTTGGCAATACCCTAGCAACCACCTGGGAATTGCTTAAGCAGCACAGTCAGTCTGCATTCTCTTCAGGAAATGCACTTTTTTAGTTAAATCATTAAGGACTAGCTCCCTTACAGAAACCTTGAATTACTTTGTTTACATCTCAGCATAAATTTGCATAAATTTGTGGGCTTTCACAAATTGGTGGAATTCCCCTTTAGCCCTTAGAGGTTGCAGTTATTTCATAATTTCATACTTATTATGTCTTGCAAACGTGTGGATTCTAAAGTTTAAATCCATATTTATGTTTGTAAGTATGCAAGGAGATACTTGCTGTGAATTCAACAAAACATTGTTTCTGTGAGTTGTCTTGTTTGGCGGAAAGAAAAAACTTTTATGCACCCTGGTCAAATTATGTGTAGTCAATTTTCTAGGTGAAAATAAATTAACACATCCAGAGAGAGCATACTTCTGCACATTTTAATGTACACTTACTGTTTATTTGCTGAATTTAACATAAGATGTGGCACAATTTATACTGTATGTTAGAGTATATGGTACACTGTAATAAATAGAATCTGGGCACTAAAATTTTCAGAAAAAGTAAGAGATGTGTACTTTTCACTTAAAAAATCAACGAAAACTGTATGTAATTACATAATTATGTAATTAGACTTGTAAAGATTATAGTACCGGTTAACCTGATTACATTTAATGCCATAATTGATGTGTTGATTGTCTAGTTAAGGTTCTATTCGTTCAATCATACAAAAAGATAAGTCTTATAGAGATTCTTGGGCCTCTCCAGGGCCTTAATGATTTGAAAACAAATGCATTTGCGCTCAGCCCCACGCTTCTTTTCTCAAGGTCCTGTGTACGACTGCTATGAGTAGAATTAGTCACATTTTCTGTTTCTGTCCTTCTCAGCAAGAGCAGAAACACCTAGAAGACCCCACTCGGGAGGTGAAGAAAGTGCGGAAGGCTCGGAACCGTCGGCAGGAATGGAACATGATGGCGTATGACAAAGAGTTCCGGCCAGACACTCGCCTCACGCCGTCCCCCTACCACGGCATATCGTCTGAGGGCTCTTTATCTCCTGACCGGTCAGTGCACTGATCTGTATTCTGCTTCATCTAACCTGATACAGGAGTTTGCCACCAATGCTGTTTCACCCCACTTTCTCCACCTTATAGGTTTGCTATGCTGCCCTCTGCTGGAGGATTTAGGCTGTATTGCGTTGTGTAATAAGTAATGGTGGTACACAGCAGGGCTGCCTGATAAACACAGAATGTCCAGTAGCAATTATATGACCACATATTGCAATTTTGATATACCTAGCAATATATCACAGAACAGTGCAAAAGTCAGAGACCACCCTTTTGTTTATGTACCTACCAGACAAAATGGCCATTATATAATTTGTCCATTTTTCACTATGCTTTATTGTGATAACTCAGTGCTATGGCTCTGAAACAATGTGTATCTGTCAAGAAGTTGTTGCAGAGAAACAGAAAAGACTTAAAAGAAGAAAAGTTTGCATTAGAACATGAAAACTGGACATCTGAGATGTGGAAGATTTTATGGTCTGATGAGTCTAAATTTGCAGTTGGGATTGCTTCAATCGTGAGAAGCAGAAAATGCAACTTCTAAGACTGAACTTTGGAGGAGTTTGGAGGAGGAGAATATTCCTGCAGATTTCTTTGAAAACTGAAAACAAGTTTCCCAAAAAGAATGGAAAAGGCAAAGAATGGACACATTAAATACTGAAATAAAGTATATGTAGTTGTTAAGGCTGTACAATATGGGTGGAATTGGTGCATAAATGAAGTCACAGCACAGCCAGCAATGTACTTACCAGATTTATTTGAAGAATTAGTCAGACAAAAACAGATTTTATGAGGCTGAAGAAAAATGATGATCATGAAAAAATAGGTTGATTACATTTTAAATTGGTTAAAATAAAAAGGAGAAGGAAAAATGAAAGAATAAATGAATGTAAAATGAAATCAAAAGGCCAGAGCAGCATTGCTCCAGCACTTGGCTCTCTCTGTCTCCCTGTCTGTTCCCAAAACAAAAATAACAGATTGCTGTTGTTGACCTTCAGAATATCCAGCTGACCAGCACTAGCCGGCCTCATTTAAGCCTGTTTCTCGCACATTGTCGAGAGCCTCTGTCCAATCACCTTGAAGTATTTCTTCACACTTTCCAAGTGCACAGACTAGATTGATTGGAAAGACATCTGAGACGATACGTGCTGTTTTTTTTGTACAATTTGTTACTTTTTGAGCACGGCATGACCTGTTACTTATGAATGTAACTGCCATTTAGTAGCATAGAGTGAGAGAAAGTCACTGGATCCTTAAACACATGCAATTCTAAAATGATCAATGCTTGAGTATCACAGCAAATCAGTAGATATCTGTATACACTATACACAAATCAGAGCAAATCAATAGATACATATAATCATAAAGAACAGATAGATAACACAGTCAATCTTAAAAAGGTAGACAGGACACAATTCTCTTTCAAGGCTTCCTTGTTGTTTCTGTTAAATATATGTTTTTGCTTTTTTTCCTGATCTGGAAAAAAATGAATTCTTCAAAAAGAAAAAAGAATAATGTACATAATGGCAGTTTTCACTGAAAATTAAATAAATTAAAAGTAGTCTCTGACTTTTGCATAGTAGTGTATGCCCCTCAGTGTTTAGGGTGTAGCAGTTTCAATACAGTATTGAAAAATCTGAAAATAATAAAAAAGAATGTTCAAAACAATGTATTGAAAATTAACGTGTATTGCTGGTATATTCCTCTGTCTCTTTTGAGGGTCTCTCATTTACTGTCTTCTGTAAAGCACGGACAGTGATCAAAACTAGACATCCACCTGCATCCTGTCTATTTCAGTCCTTTTGCACTGTTTTATAAGATCACTACTTTGCACAAAGGCTACTTTACAATCATGTGTTTTGAAATAAAACTTTGATTTTTGTGAGTGAAAACAAATATTGAAAATTCAATTGAATCTTCAACTTTAGACTAGAAATTTGCATCAAACCTGAAAATATGTATATCGTTACACCCCCTTTTAAAGGGCCCATATCATGTAAAATTTCCTTCACTTTTTGAAGATAAAGGAGTTTGAAATAATTTGTTAAGTGTCAAGATTTTAGCATTCCCTACCCAATACTCCATATATGGAAACCATGCTGCAAAAACATCCCACTTTGGGTTCATATTACTGTGATATTACAAGAACCTACTCATTTACATCAGTCCACCTGTTCAGCCTTATAGTAGTTCAGCTCCACCCATTCAAACTGTTCTAAGCAATGTTCTAAGTAGTGTTTCAGCTCTGAGTACTGTTTGAATAAGTGCAATATAAATGATATATATATAAATAAATGCAATACAGGGTAGCCAACCAGTAACAAAAACCTGTCTAATTCTAAGATTAAGAGAGATAAAAATGAATTATTAAAAATGAACTATGCAAATGTTATAAGTGGACCTGAAGGGAAAAAACTAAATGTATGATGTTGGCCGTTTAATATTGCAATAGTGATTAATAAACAATATATTGTGTAGCCTTAGTATACAGGACATGATCCCATAGTTTTCAAGGGGTTTTCTTTGAAAGCTGTTTTGGCAACTTGTTTGTGTCATTCTTTGTTTCTTTCTTCTGTCTTCCTTTCTTTCATGCATTCCTCCTCTCTCAGGTCTGGTATGTCAGATGAGCATTCCTATCCTGCCAGCCCTAATCACCCTCAGGACATGGGTGGAGCAGGGGCTGATGGGAAAGATTCTGGCCCAACTCAGACTCAGTCTCTGGACCGTGCTTACCGCCCTCCTGCCTCTGCCACTGCCGCAGCTGCCCGTCAGCACTCTCTGGGCCGTGTGCAGCAGCACCACGGAGCTCCGCCCCCAGACTCCTCCCTCAACGGCCCACGACCCACAGCTGCCAAAGAATACAGGTACGGTCTCCGTCTATCAGCACTGCTGGTGGGTATTTTAGGGGCTTTCAACCAGTGGCGTAGGCAGAAGTACATTCTTGTGTAGGCCGGTGAAAAAGTCATTACAGCTGTGCAGCCATCATCCTGCCTTTTCCATCATATATATATATATATATATATAGCGATTAACCAGAAAGCAGGATTCATGGAAACCCGACCAACACTGCATCACCCTTCAGTATAAAGCATGCATCACATTAGCCCTGTGAAGGTGATATAAATCAGCGCTGAGATGTGCAGAGATGAGGAAGAATAACACAGCAAACTTAAAAACCTAAGCCCAATTATTGTAGGCAAAAGCCGCGACGGGTATGCAAAATCTTTATGGTCCATTTGTGTTTTACCCTTGATGACTCTATGCCTTAAAGTAACATTTGATGTTTGCTTTTACATTTTCACAAAGCCTGTGTCAGCTTCTGTTTTTGGCTTTGGGTAGGTAAAAGAAATACATACTCTACAGGATCGAATCTCACTTTGAATCATCCTCAGTCATGTCTTTTAACTGATATTCGAGCTTGAAATTCAAACTACACTGATAACAAACTGAATGTTTAAGGCAATGGTAGATAGCAACAATTGTTGAGCAGTGATTGGAGGGCTGAGAAAAGAAGGCGGAGCTTGGTGGAGAGCATAATGATTTAACTGGCCGTAATATAATGACAGCACTCTCAAAAAACAAATCACATTTCATTCATCTTAAAACAAATCAAGTAAATAAATATTCTTTCCCTATTTGATTGGGTAGGCCCAGACTGGGTAGGGCCTACACATGGATATGGCCTTGCTTTCATCACTGCCCCTTTTAAAAATGTGCTTAATCACCTCCTACAGAGATTCCACAACAGGCCCTGAGATTTTTTAGTTAAGAAAAACACTCTTCTGATGATGTATCTTGAAGGTGGGAGGATCTTTTGAAAAACTACAACTGCTTTAAGGTTGATTTTTGTGGGCTGTTTTGAAATTTTTTTAAATTAGCTGGTGAATGCAGAAGGACGGCATGTAGATAAGGTTGCTGCTAAGAAGCCGAAGATCTTATTGCATCCGTATGACCGTAGTAACTGAAGTATCTTCAAATCATATTACAATGGAAAGAATCACAGAAATGACTCATCAGACGAGAAGGATAATAAGCTAAAGGCCAAAGTTAGAAGGGCAGCTAGCTGGTTATCTAGATGCTTTACCTCAGTTTAGCTTCTTTTCTCTGGCTGAAAGAGTAAAAACGTGTCTCTGGCATCCATTTTATGTTGAATGAAGATACCATCGCTGTTTTTTTACAGTTTTGTTTGTCAGTTGTGAGTCAGTTTCATTAGTCTATATCTAAGTGTCTAGGTTATAAGTCAGGATAGGTCGCCACCACAGGTATTCCCAATTACTGTATGTTGTAATTTCATAATGCATGCTGGACAGTAAAAAAATAAATAAATAGAAAAATAAAGAACTCTCCCTGTGGGAGGCATAACCTGACAAATAACATAACAACCTCTAGTTTTAGGCCAGATCTGTGAGTTGTGTTTCACCCACCAGTTTTTGATGAAAAGTGTACTAAACGACAAACCATTAATGTGGTTTAACACATTTACCCTACACTACAGGCCATGCAGTCAGAAATCTGTCTTAGTTAATTTGCCATCAGTCAAAACAGCACAACATATTCCTTCACTTCTAGTTTAACCAATACCATTGGATTGCAGTGCTGTATGTTTACTCTAAAATATTATATAGGAATCCCTCAGTAAGGGATAATAGACCCTTACATTGATGAGTTTTTAATTGTTAACAAAAGCATCTGAATATGAGAATTAGGTGGATCTGTTTAGAGAGGCAATAAAACTTCTGGAGCAAGTTTGGCCCCCGGTATAGAACTGTTGCTGCAGATTTGACCCCTTTTGTTCTATGTTAAATACTGCATTACGTAAGATTTTGCTAAAATTGCAAGTAGTATTACTGACTCAGAAGAAAGAAAAAAACGCTACAGTGTGGTGTGTGTGTGTATGTGGGTATCAGAGGTTTCACGTCAGATTTCATGGGTGATCAAGCAAATTTTTCACCGCTTTAGCATTTTACTGTCCATTGTCTCTTGAAAAAAATGCAATTTTTTTACAAAGTCAGTGTTTCTAGCATCATAAAAATGCTTCAATGATGCATTGATCTGAAAGTAGCAACTGCACTGATTTTGCAATGTTGGGATCATAAATTATGACAATAACGTGCTCATTTTTTGGCCGAAAATGAAACTGTATTGTATATCATCTGTAATCCACTATTGTGTAATCAGTTACATTTGTATTCACTGTTTTTATAAATAATTTTGAATCTTACTAAAATAATCAAATCATAGTGAAATTTGAGATTTCATGATGTACTGAATTATTTCAGTTAATTGAATCAAATCGATTTATACCTGTAGTTGCTTCCAAACTTTTGGCCTGCAGTGTAATTCTTCCTCTTTTTTTACGTTACAGTGGTCATCAGATGCCAGAGCACTTTGTTCCTCCTGCACCTCCTCCCCCTCCCCCGCTGATCCCCTCTGCTCAGACCGCTTTCGACAGCACCTCTGGACCTCCAGCCCTGGCCCCTGGCACAGTGGCTGCTCTGTCCCGCCCCTACAGCCCATCTCCTCCCCCCGCCCCGCCCTCAGCCTACGCCCCCTCACCGTCCCACCCCGTGAGCGGTGGACCCCCAGTCGCTCCACCTCCTCCCCCTCCAGGACCCCCGACCCACGCTCCATCTCCAGCCAGGGCCGCCATACACGTGTCTGGAGAGGCCACACTGCCCAGGAAGGGCCAGGTGCCTCTAATCCCCATGAGCGACGCCCGCAGCGACCTGCTGGCCGCCATCCGCAGAGGTAAGCGGCTACAGCAGATGCTCCTCATGCACATTGACTCTAGCTAAAGAATGAATCTATTAATTTTTAATAAACTGCATTTTAAAAAATGTAACAAACCCCTACATTTAATGTGTTGTCCTTGTGTTATCTTTATTTTGTGTTGTTTAGTTTTTATCTGTTGTTGTATTTATGATTTATATTGCAAAGGTTGGTTCTGTTACATATGTTCATTTGGAAAGGTCCAATGTAAAACATCACAGAACCACAGAAAAACTACAACTGCTTTAAGGTTGATTTTTGCGGGCTGTTTTGAATTTTTTTTAAATTAGCTGGTGAATGCAGAAGGACGGCAGGTAACTAAACTGTTGTTGTATTTATGATTTATATTGCAAAGGTTGGTTCTGTTACATATGTTCATTTGGAAAGGTCCAATGTAAAACATCACAGAACCACAAAAAAATTAACATTTAAAAAAGTATTTAAAAATTAAGATTAAGAAAAATCTAGCAACAATTTGTTCACATTTTAATCTTTTAAGGCCAACGTAAAAAGCTACCAATAACCATTTAATCTGCTCTTCACTGTTAATAATATGATTTCTTTGTGTGCTTGTTTCATTCATTTAATATACAAACAGTGTAATTCAACAAAGCCCAAAATTTGTAGATCTTTTTGTGTCACAGACTATGCATGAAAATGCATGAATAGCAGCATGTCACACATCACTCACATTTTATCGTTGCTCAGATTAAATCAATCAAGTATAAGCATCTACCAATGTGAATTAAGCTCTGATTGAGCCTAAACACTCGCTTGGAAGCCTCGTGCATTGATAGGTAGTTCACAGAAAGCTCTGATTTACATGCTGATGATTTTTTATCTGCACAACATGGACATGCACACGCTGTAACTCCTCTTGGGGCAGATTTAAATGAGACAAAGGAAACATGGCTAAAGGATGTCTTTGTCTCTGGCTGTTTTGCCAACAAGACATTTGATTTTGAAAAGGTTAAATAATTATGGAACCTAAAATTTTGCCTTTGCGGTAAAACAGCTCTTAACGTATGGTGTTCTTGGGAGTTTTGAGGCTGGAGCTTTAGCATTAGCTAGAAAACAGTCGCCAAGTTGGTTAGTTATAGTAGCTTTGATGTGGATAAATAAAAAAACATATGCCACAATAGGGAAGTATATTAGTGTAGGCTAGACTACTTGTGCTAGTTTTATTCTACCTTTATCGAATACTTTATTCATGCAATAGAACTATTCATGCACCTTTAAAACTAACTGGAACTAGACCGAAATCAAAAAACATAATGAAAAACTGAAGAAAAATAAAAATGAAATGGAAATTTCCAAACTATAACAACTCTAGTTTGCACTTTTCCAAGTTTTTTTTAACATTAAGAAATTTCCTCTTCTGCTTACGAACACAAATGTAGTGTTGATTGAAAGTTGAGATTCTGCACTTTCAAAAATTTCTACTTGTCTATTTGTTTTAACTTTTTAACATTTCAATGTGGCTTCGTTTGTTGTGTTTACTACAACACAGAATGTGATCATCCCACATTTTACCGTGTGACAGTGATGGAACGACTTGCTTAGCTTTTTTTCACACATCTTTGGCTCGTACCTCCAGGCATCCAGCTGCGAAAGGTGCAGGAGCAGAGAGAGCAGGAGGCTAAGAAGGAGCCAGTGGGCAACGACGTGGCCACCATCCTGTCTCGCCGCATCGCTGTCGAATACAGCGAGTCAGACGAGGAATCGGAGCCTGAGGAGAACGAGTGGTCCGACTGAGGTGGGAGGAGTCTGCCACCTCTGGCTGTGCCGTACACGCTGCTGCTAATTTCCCATTACCAGGTCACACACACTTTCCTCATACAGACGGACGGTCCTCTCAAGAATGAGGAGTATAAAAAAAGAAACAGAGCTGGAAATAAAGAAGTGTAGGAAAAGTAGGAACGACTGAAACAGAGGAGAGCAGAGGAGAGGGGAAGAGAAGACACAGGGCTTGTGTGCAATAAACAAGAAAAAGTATTAAGAAAGTGTGAAAGAAAGAAAGAAAGAAAGAAGGGACAGGAAGGAAACAAGAACACTGAAAAAATGAATGCAAATATTTGATTTATTCAAATATATACGCAATTTTCACATGAATAAAATGTATCGCATATATTTATATTGCATTACAAATAAACTCATACGTATATATTTCATATTTATACCACAGTTAGTTCCAATCCCACAGTGTTGCTGAGGGGCATTCTGTGAGCGCCAGTATCTTCTGACCGAAGTATCACTTCACCTTATTCACCTGTAACGCAGGCCCACCAGCCACTGTAGAAAAGTAATAGCTGTAAAAAAAGTAACAGGTTTAAAATTACAAGTAACAAGTCTATATCTAAATGAATCAGTGATCGTTTGAGAGAACCTCTTGCAACGTGTCAAAAATACCCCCCCTCGATTCTTATTTCAAGAACTGCTTTCTAGAGAGTTAATATAGTAGCTCAGTCACTGAAATTATAATGGTACATAGGTGATTAGAAATGTAGGGGTTTGACTGGCCTTTTCTATGTTTTTTGGTACCCTCTCAATATCGTTACCAGCAGGGTCTAGTCACGTTCGATATTCTTCTCTGTATTTAGTGCCATTTGCAGCTGAAGCCAACAACAATTTAGCAAACTCTTTACTCTTCCAGGTCAGGATAAAGCTGCCAAACACTTGACCAGTATAACCAATACATGACATAAATTCACAAAAATGTGAACTAAAATGGTTTGTTGATGTGTCAACTGCTATTTTTTAGAATTACTTTGTAAAGAGTTCATTATAAGGTTAGATGAGCTGGTTAAGAGGCTAATGTTGTTAGCATTTATGCTAGCCTGCACAGAAGTGTTTTTTTTCTTGTATTTACTCACTTGACAGAGACAAGCACACTATATTATATCGTGTCAGCACTAAAACTAGAGTAACAGCTGGTTCTTCAGTTCCCACTCGAAAAAAAAACTGTAGCTTTTCTTGACTTTATAGAACTGTTGTTTCATATCAGCCAGTTAAGCATAAGGTCAGCTAACTAGCATGCAGGGTAGCTAATCAGCCAGATTTTACACTTCAGGGCAGTGTGTCCGAGCCCTGCTCCTGGAGGCACACTTCCCTACACATTTTAATGGTTTCCCTGCACCCAGCACACCTGATGCAAGTAATTAGCTCATTAGTGTTAAAGCAGGAAAACACTACAATGTGCAAGTCACTGTGCCTGCAGGGCCAAAGTTGGGAAACACTGCTTTAGGCGGCGCTCAGATGATGCCTTTTCGCCTCCTTCGAGCATATTTGGTTTTTTGATGTTTTTGTTTATGGGGCTTCGTGCACTGAGACTAAAAAGCAAGTAGGTTTTAGTTGAAAACCTTCCACTTTTATGCTGAGCGCCCACAAATGAGTACTGGACATCATGTTTCTACTCATTTCTGTGTGAACTTCTTTCAATTTTGGAAAACAGAAGGATGTATTCCATTAAAATAAAAAATGAAAACTATGAGTATTTTTCAAACAGCAAACAGGTTTTGGGCATTACTGCTGCTGAGTGCTGATTGGTTCACAAGCTGATCAGCTCATTGGTAAAGCTCGAGTAAAGCGGTTTGCACTCACTGATGTCGTGAACGCACATAAAGCATTGTTACAAAGTCCTATAACTGGAGTTCAAAAGCACTTAGCACTTCTATAAATATAGAAATACTTTATTCTTTTCCCTGTTGAGAAAATGAGTGCATCTTTCTTTTTAAAAGTGAAGCACAAGATCTCCTTTCATTTTGGACTCGATCAGGAGCGCCCTCTAGTGTCTGACAAACTCAGAGGGCATTACTGAGTGCCAGTACTCTTCACTACACATTCTCTGGTTAAGCCACCCCATAAGAAAGGCATCCAGCTTCTTTAGAAGCACGAGATTCAGTACCTCACTTTTAAAAAGGCATCACCTGAACGCCCCCTTAGAGTGACCAAAAAGATAACTCAGTTGTTAATTATGGTTATTACAATGGTTATAGCAGTCTCTCAAGCAGGTGGAATATGAGCTAGACCTAGAACCCTAGAACCCTAGAACCATTGCTTTGGGTCAGTTCTATGTTTTCGTATGTGCAGCGGAAAAACACCCTAATAATAAATACCTTCGACATCACACCAGTGTCAGTATATCACTCAGCCACTAAAAGGGCCATATTAAAAAATCTTAACAAATTTGTGGGCCAGAAAACACCTATGTTTTTATTTCATTAAAATAATATTTCACTACAACCTGTACTCGTCAGTGTTTATTCAAAATACGCCAAAACATCAACAGCAAATAGGCATTTTGTAGCATGCGGGGGATTGTAGTGCAGTGCATTGTGAAACGGGCTAATATTATTAAAAAATTAACATAATTTTGCAGGCTGGATAGGATTGTGCCATTGTGTTTGATGTATGGGCACTAAACAATGCAAATATATGACATACGTTACAGTTTAAAACCCAAACACTGACAAAAGTAAGTAAACAGAAAAATAAAACTATATTGAGGTAAAATATGGTACTAATAGCTGCTGATAGATGTTATTTGGATACAAAAGAAGTACATATTTGAATCACGTAAATGCATTATTTTTTCAGAGAAGGAAGAAAGATGTAAAGCAGTGAAGACAGAAGAGTCAGCGTTAAAGGGAGGGTGAAGTGTAAATTGGCAGTAAGCACAGAAATCATACAGTATACAGTGTGAAAATTAACTTATATACAAATGTATGGTTACGTTTCTTTACGAGTTGTTCGAAGTTGCCAGGAAAATCTTTATGGAAAAGATATCTGTTGTGTGCTTTTGATTCCGATTTTCTTTTTATATTCGTCCAGATGACAAAATACATACTCCAGCCTTTGCAGTCTGCACCATAAAAAAAAGACAGACATCCATTTAGCAGTGGTATATGCACTTGTATTAACTTTATGTAAAGAGGCATGACCCAGTACTGCTTCCAGTATGAATTCATTCCAGGATATCTCTCTTCTGCTTCACGCTCTGTCAGTATGATATGGACAATCAAAGTCAGTACAGCTTACTCTACAAATGCGCACATTCCTTTTACAGCGATCAGATTGCTCTGATATTTAATTTGTCACTTTGTTCAATTGTGGACAGTGTTGTAATGAATATTGACCCTAACTTACCGTGATTGTCATTGTTTTTTTTAATGGACGCTTTGTTGACTTGGGAAGACTCGACGTTGTTGTCTTTTTGTTTGCTTGTTTGTTTTTTTCTTTCCTCTAGTGCTAACGATTAATGATCAGAGATGGCGTTAGGTGACGGAGCGCGTATAGGGAGCCGAGGCTATGTATGTCTGTGTGTTCGTTACTGTGAGAGCGAGAGTGAAAGTGAGTGCGACGAGCTGGAAGACTGGAGCTATTAACATCCAATTTTTATGTTGTGCTGTCTGTTTCACACAAGCCTCTTCATGCTTTTAGACCTAAACATTACTACAATATATTCCACAGCGGAGATGAATCGCTGCACACAGGCTCTGTCGTAATCTGTCATTACGGTCTATAATTTGTAACTATACAGTATTGATGTGTTTTACAATTTATTGTTGTATAGATTTTTGTAACACTGCTTGTAAGATGATTTTGGGTATCTAGGTATAAAATGACTATCTATCACACAGAATAAATATAGACGAATATGCATGTATGAGTAGTTAATAAAATGAAAGAAAAACCTCGTGCTGGATAATGTTCTATGTTCACTCGTGTCTCTTTTGCTGTTTCTTTTATATTGACCAGCTTTTGATCACAGATGTAGCAAAACTGGTCTCACCTTATTTGGACAGCGCCCAGAAGATTATCTGTAGATGTTCAATTGATTTTATTCAATTTATTTTTTTCAATTTGTAGTTTTAGGTTTTGGGTTGCAACTAAGGTTAGGCTTAGATCCAGGGTTACTGAACAAAAAGGTCAGTTTAACAGATAAGTCGCAAGATAAGCATCTGTGAAGCATTTACATGAAGAGTTACCCCAAAACAAAGACACAGACAAAATCGTCACTTTACAGAAGAAGGAAGACATTTTTAACTTCAATGTACCATAATGTAACAAAATTTTGTTCCATTCCCATCATTTTCAGGACGATTTTCTGTTTTATCATTCATTATAAAATGTTCATGCAATAAAGGCCTAATCATTTCTGGTAACTAAGAATTCCATGTCTGTAACACTTTCTCACTCTTATAACTACCTAACTCACATATTACTTTCATAGTATTTAGCTAATAATTAGTAATATTTAAATTTATAATTATTTATATTTATTAGTAATATTTAATTAAGGGGTTGATAGGGAGTCATTTAAACATTTCTACTCCACTCATGCAACATTTATTTATATATATATATATATATATAGATAGACATAACGCATATGAGTCTGGTTCAACCAACAGATTTAATTTGTGGCGTTCCAACAACAGCAAACTGTGCATCTTGGCATTGAACCATCTGTGGCGTAGCACTGTCTGTGTTCTATATTTACTTAGCTGAACCATCCCTGCTGCTCTTTAGAACACGTGGACTGCTCTGACCAAAAGCTGTGCAGAGAAATGACTTCTGAGGAGATACACAGAACCTGTACATCAAAACATACAGTGAGACCATGAGGGGTTTACATGGCAAGATTTAACAGGACAGAAATACTGTGCCTTCCCAAAACGTATAAAGATAAGACAAATTTGTAGGGACCCAGGAAGAGCATGAGAAAGAACTGCCATTCTGTAGTTGCTGCAGTGGGTTTAATACAGATTCTGAATCATTAACCTCGTCTGATAATGGACTCTACTCTTAAAGGGGAATTTCACCGTCTCTTCTACATTCTACATCTCTTCATAAATCATACGCATACATACAGATGTAAACAAAGCCATTTAGTGTGGTTGATGTGAAATGTTAATTGCAGAAACTTACCACCTTCTTTACAGTGGTGGTGATAGGACTCAGGGGTCATAATGTCTACCGTGCATATACAGTCTTTTTATTTACTATCCAAAAACACCAGTGAACCTACACGTGTCTTCAGAGTTTTTATATGTAATGTTGTTGAAGGTAAAATAGTCATAAATCTGAAAAAAAGTTACGGGCTATTTTCCTCACAACACCCTGCGTCTCCCTCTCCTCCGTGAATGGATTTTTAAAACATGCATTTTAGGACAAACCTTTATCTCAAAACAATCATAAAACAATGTCTGAGGTATCAGGCAGTATTTTTGCAACAGTTTCATGTAGTAACGTTCTTTGAGGGACCTTTCAGAGGTGGACATCTGGTTACTGTCATCACCACTGTGAAGAATTCTGACTCTAAGTTTCTCTAACTGAACATTTCACATCAAAACCATTCCCCTTGAAAGCAATAGTATAGCATTTTTCAGCTTAATCTCTGTCTACTGCATACAGTCGTTTACAATCGAAAATCATTTTTAAAATGAAACTGCCCACTGGCTTTTACTACAGGTGAACTTTAACCTTTTTTTGATGTTTTGTAATGTTTTTGCCCATTTCCCATCCAATTTAGTCATAAATCCAGTTCCCACCCACTAGCTATGTCTCCTTTCACATGGGTGCTACTGAGCTGGGAAGGTGAAAGCTAGCAGGTGCTTCCTCAGAGATGCGTGAAGTGACACCACATCTTTTTGGACTACTGCTAACTCAACTTCATTGGACAGCTCAACACACTTGGAGGAGAGTACTCTAACTGCTAATTCTAGGACATGACTTATCACTTGTCGCTCTGACGCCTGCTAGTGTCAACGTAGTCCACCTATGGGCTGCTCGTCAATGGTTTGGTTTTTTTTTCCTAAGTACTGGGAAACACAAATTATCATCTGTGGAATTTTATGGTACGCTACAGACGCAGCAAATAAGTCTGGCTTTACACAGTGAACCTTCCATGCAACTTTAGTTGCCTGAAACCCACATGAATCTAAATTTTTCATGAGTTGCATAATGTAAAGCATCCTGCAACTCACTTGAAACTCAGTCGCAACAGTTGCAAACAATGGCTATAACGCATCACATGATTGACATTATTTTAAGGGTTTGGTATCAGCTAAACAATGGATCGACTTGTCCTAACTTTTTTTGGAACATTAAATATCTTGTCTTTGTACTGTTTACAATTTAAAAGCAGGTCAAACAGGATTTACAAATCATTGCAGTCTGTTTTTATTTACATTTTACTTACTGTCCCAGCTTGGAATTTGTCTTGTAAATATAGAAAATGGATGTCATACAAAGGCAAAGAAAATGCTGCAAATGTGTGTACAACACTTCATGGATGACTTCCTACAGTGAGAACAATACAGTGTGCCAAAAAATGCAAGGTGCTGATACGGCTAACTAGTGGATCAAATGTGTTGCATGTTTTGAATTGCTTTTTGCAACTGTCAAAGTGCACAGAAACTATGTTGCATTCAACTCACATGCATCTAGTTGCATGAAAGTCTCACTGTGTCAAGGCTTGTGTAAATATGAGCATAGGCACTCTGCTGTTTAAGCTAATGCTGAATTCAGCTTTAGGTATAATTAGGTCTTTGACTAAAAAGGTGTCAGCACCACACCATCTGGCATCGGACAGCAGCAGTGATGAAAGCCTCATACTTCACTAAGACATAAACCCCCTGATAAAAAGAAGTCTTTGAAGAAACTGTTGGTAGAAAATGTTCTTGACTCAGTGCAGAAGATACACATAAAAGTTGAGCTCTAAGAGATTCCATTGTTCGTTAGGTCCAATTGTGAGTAAATGAGGTTTGACGAATGTGGATGAATATGTTTCTTATAACACACTGCATGTCTTTGCGCTTATTTCCTGAAAGCTTTCATAACTTGGCATCATTTTATAGAGTCTTAGCAGTCCATGGAGAATTGGGCACCGCCTTCAAAATGACCCTAATGTATTTTTAGCATTAGCATGCTAAATAAGAAAGCAGAGCCAGACAGGAGGGAGAGAGAGTGAAAGAGAGATGTGTCGAATCGGTTTTGTGTCCACAGGTCCCCTCCCTAGGCGTGACGTCACACTCGGCCTCCATCAGAGAGGCTCCATCTGGCCCTCGCTGCCTCGGCCAGCTCCCCACCGAGTCCCTCTGGAGCACTGGATGCTCAGCTGACAAACAACAGAATGGACACTACCTGTTTACTTGGCGGCATGAGGGCCTATGAAGCCGTTAAAGGAATACTTCAGCATTTTTCAAACTACAGACAATAATTTCCCTGAATTTAGAAAAGAACTGAAAATCCGTTTTTTGTATTTCTGTGTAATTTGGTTGCTGATATGTAAACAAAGTCATTCGGACTGGTTTATTATGAAATGCTCCCTTCTGGCGAAACTCACCAACTCAGATTTCTTTACAGTGGTGGTGACAGGAACCAGGGGTCGCTATGTCAACAACACAAATATAGCCATTTTATTTACTATCCAAAATTACTTGTGAACCTACACGTGTCTTCTGAGTTTTATATGTAAGGTTGATGACTGTAAAATGGTGGTAAATCTGAAAAAATATTTTTTCTTTTGGGGCTATTTTGTTTTCTGTGAGTTAGCTTTTAGAGGCATTAAACTCTCTAGACGTCTGGTTCCTATCACCACCACATGGTTCTGACTCAACAAGGTTATCTAAAATGGGGTATTTCACATCAAACCAATCTGAAGGACTATATTTACATCTTAATTTTTTAATTATGCAGATATTTTGAAAAATCTGTGTAATTTCTTTTTAACTCAGAACACTTGATTTTGAAATGAATGGACATGTGCTGAAACACCCGCCCACCTCTATTTTAAGTATGTTTTTACTCAATGCGTTGTGTTCTTTTAGTAAGTATAAGGAAACATTAAGTCAAAAATATTGTCCATGGTAATGGACTGTATGCCAGGACTGTGTGCGGTGGTAAAATGCGTAAGGAGCATTCTGACCTAAAGCTAGCACTTAATGTAATTTGTGGTGCTATGCAATATTCTGTTGCATGGCTCTCCATCACTCAGTGATTTGACAGAATCAACAGTTTTGTACAATTGTGTCTTTTTGTCCATGTTCTCTCACTACGATATCCAGCATGCATTGTGCAGGTATGTCACAGAACAATTGAATCCCCCCATGTTGATAAAACACACCCTGACTGCTAGCATAGCCTCTGATGTATAGGCTAATAAACACAACTGTGATATTTGACTTCATAGCAGCAGCATTATCTCTCTGGCCTTCTTCTTCACTAGCAATTTTAAAGTGCTTGTAGTTTTTAAAACGTTTCTTTCACCTTCAAGATGCATCATCAGAAGGTTTTTCTAGTCTTTAAACGAGAAAATCTTGCTCTAAAGACTACCAGAGCACCACTGTAGGAGGTGAGTATGCCTGTTTACAACAGATGTAACAATGGCTACGTTTGTCATTTCAGCCAGAGCGCCCCTTTAAGTATTTAACAACAAATGACCAAGAGATGACCAAAACACAAGTTTTCACCCAAAAACAGAAGCTTTAGAATCATATCCTAACAATGCAGTAATGCTGAAATGACAGTAAATCTTATAAAGTGAGGATACTTTCCCCTTCAGTTCAATAAAATGAGCAAAAGTATCAGTTATACATTTCTTCTCCATGCATTTTAACAAAAGTATATTCATTCCAGCCTTTAACATCAGAATTAATGACTTTTGTTAACAGTGTATCAGTCATTTGGCCACACTTTGATTCTTCATTTCACTGATGTTCATAACTCTCAGGGCCGGCTCTAGCCTTTTGAGGGTCCTAAGTATGAATTTTGGGGGCCCCCTATCTTGCTACCTGATGTACTGTTAAATGAAATGCGAAATAATAAAAATGACCATCAAGCTGTCTAAATTATATACATTTATACCTGGCTAATTTGTGTATTGCTAGTGATCGGATGCTAATACGTTTAATGACAGATAACCTTTCGGTCTGGATTCAAGGGTCTGTCTCACAATGCTGGATTTCTTGCTTACTCAGCTGACTTTAAGCAAGTTGGATCAAGTACTCTGGTGGCAGTGACAGCAGTGTTGCGAATGAACATGGGCTAATTCAGTTAAGCCTGTTAGCACAAGACAGAGACGTATTTCCAGGAGAGAAGATGATAAAATTAAGAGAAAAATCCCATCAAATACTTCGCTCTCACTGTTAAAATGGGAGGAATTAAAAATAATTAAAATTAGCTGTCCGTGCTGATTACTAACCATTTCAAGTGAACAATGATTTGGATGGTGCAGCGAAAACTAACTTTTTTAGCATACCTACTAAAATTACACTGAGCTTCTAAATCTATAACAGACTTCTTACAGGAGTGTTTTCATACACACAGCTTATTATTCAAACTAGCTCATATTATCGACTAACCAGCAGCAGTGTCACTGTTATGCGTGTTGGTGAAGTTACCCACAAAGATTAATGCAGAGATGGTTTTATTTTTGTTTTGTCTTTGGACATCAATGGCAAATAACAACCTTTAATCGGTCAGGCTACCCGGTAACACTATAAGCACATCTTATGACCATATCTGGAGTTTTGCATTCAAAATCTGGAGCGCTGACCGAACCGAAGATTCGACTGAGGTAATGGAGGATGGAGAAAATGAGGCGGGGCTTAAGAGTGATCAGACAAAGAAAGGGGCCTTTCAACATACAGGAATCATTAATGATGAATTTTTTGAAATTCAATCAACATAATTTTAGGGACATTCTTTCATTAAATTATTTGTCATTAAGGGGCAAAGAGGCAAGTGCACTACCCACAAGACATAATGATACAGTAACCAGAAGTTGTTAGCGGGCTCCATGGCTGCCGCGCGGCAGCTGCTTATGATGCATATTAGGTAGCCCCAGATAGAGCCGCCACTGATAATACTGTTCACAACAATTTGAATAGAAAAAACAACGCAGACAAGATCTGGTGAGCAATGTGATGTTTATAGAAACAATCATTAAATAGTTACATCTCAAAAAAAGCAACTTGTTAACTGCAGATCACTCAAGTGTGCATCATAAAACAGGCCAACATCAGATGAACACCCAGGTAGCTACTCATACTGCATGGTGTCAAGCATTCTGAAAACTGTACAAAAATATAGTTCTGTGTTAACAGTTGGGACACATACTATAACTTCAATCATTTGACCTTAAACGTAAACAATGTAAGAAATGTGTTACAAATGCAACCAAGGCTGAGACCATCACAGTTGCTCAACTGAAAAAAGAAAAGAGAGACAAAAATCTTGGCACCATACATTCAAACATGTTGACATCTTACAACGGCGAGAATATTTGGAATAGTGCGAGTGTCCTACAATCCACTTCCGATGACGGACGTTGTTGAAATTAGCTCTTTGGCTGATCTACCAACGACATATATTTGCAGAATAGAGTCGGATAGAGACTGCCCGTACGAACTCAACAACAGACCACGAGATACATTTCCAATGCACGGTTATTGAGATACTATGACGGATCTGCACATGTTCAGAGACACTCACAGACCTCGTAGGCTAGCAGGCTACTTTATCACGAATGTGATGACAAGCACACAGCAATATTATTTGCCTCTAATAGTCTTAGAAAAGTATATTATTACTTGTTATGCATTGATGTGATTAATATACACAGTACGGTACATTATTGCCATTGAGAACACGTAAGGCAAAATGAATATGGTCCTCTCCCAAAGTCAACCCTTGCGGTTTGGAGTTTTGCTGAAGTGTACACTAACACGGCATACTTCTGAACTTAGCAAAAGTGTGCAAGCCCTTGTGAAGAGCGGATTTGTATTGTGTCTTTGTGGGACAGCGAGCCTCACAATGCTAATAAAGCTGCATACTACCACACTAAATAGTAAATTGTGCACTCAGTTTAGCATACAGTCTAAGGATTTCTGAGAACTAAAAAATACATTCTTATTTAACTGGATCATCATTCTTGTAGTATTTAAACTAACCGTAACCCTAGAAAAGGGTTATACTTTACTACTATAATACTATCCAATCAGAATTTTTTTCTCCATGGTATCTAGGTAGACAGAGCCAAACAAGTTCTCCCATTGGTTAGGCCTTCAGGAGCTGAAATGAGGGCCTTATACATCAACTACTAGCATACTTAGGAAGTGACAGAGGAATCAAGCAATCGCACTTAATTCATAATGGGTCCAATTTTGTGAAAAAAAATTGTCAATCTAGGCCTTTTAAAAGTTCTAGATATGTCACTGACCAGATTTCAGTCCATAAATAAAACAGTGGTAGCTTTGTGGCAGGGCTCTTTACTGAAAGAGTCACTGTAAAACTGCTACAAGGTAAAATATTGTCGCTGTCCAAAGAAAAATAAAATGTTTAATGTAAGATAATGTAAAGAGATTTTATTCGAAGCTATTTTGGAGCATTTCTATTGGTCTCATCATTGTGAATAATAATAATGAATAATGGCCAAAAAGGTTCACCAGTGTAGTGTTAATAGTGTTAACATACTACTGGAAATCCCATAGGGGTGCTAGCAGAAATTAGCATTATTGTAGAAGTGTTTTTTCTATTTTTTTACTCTACTTTTGACATTCATGGCCCAAATTGAAGCGCTAGCTCTAATAGTCACAGTTCATCACTAGTTACGTGGATTTGGATGCAGCTGACGTCACCAATTTTGTGGGACATACACTTATTTAATCCTGCTTTGGTGCACATGTACACAAAACCAGAAAGTGTGGACTCTGGGACAGGGGGTTAGAGAACGCCACTCCCATTTAGCTCTGTCCAGCTGACGTCACATCCTGTAGCGCTCATTCAGTATTTTTTTGAGCTGAAAAGATGATACAAATGGTTGCTACATAACAGGAAATGGTCACTGTCGAATATAAGTTGGTGAACACAAAGACAAAAGTGCTAAAGAGTATAGTCAAGAGATGAGGGAAGTAACCTACTCTACTTTTAATATGTCCAACTAAGCATCATAAGCAGTTATGATGTGAATAACACTGTCTGCGTAGTAATACAATATTGATATTCTGCTGGAGAAGGTTTGCCAGGAACACGTGTATTGCAGCCGTTTCCCCACCAGCGGCCACAGGCAGCACCATGCCTCAGCATGCTACATGAATTGAGTGCACTGTAGTGGAAAACTTTGGAGACAGAGCTGTGAGAAACAAGGTACTTTTGTACATAAGCACGTGATCTCCTTTTTTATCGTTATTGTACTCTATCATTCATTCACTGAATGACGCTGTGTCGATGTCTGCGGTGCTGAAACATCTGGTCGAGTCTCAACCTGAGTTGGGAAGAAAACATCCGCGTTTAACATTCATAACCTCTCTCATCCATCAGCTTGGGTGACAGCCTGGGAAGCCTTTATTGGCATCTCACAGTGCTAAAAGGCAACTGACCTAAAGGAAGGGTCCACGCTACATTTATGTCTGCCCCCCTCCCACTTATTACAAGCATTATATATGGTCACCTTGGTATTGGGGGGCAGTCCTTAATAACTCAACCGAAGTGAAATACAGTCAAAAGACGTGACAAAAGACATCAACACGTACTGGCACAGCGCTAACGCGATAGGAGATCACCACACCTGGACAAAACACGTGACCCCCAACACTCGTGTATAGGTTACAATATGCGGATCCCTCTGCACGTGGTGGTTGTTTTGTTTACAGCCACTGTCTGTGCGCCTCTCTACACGTCGCTGGGCGTCCTGGGCCTCGAGGTGAAGCTGTAGGGCAGGCAGCCGCAGCACGCGAGCCTCAGCGACCTCTGAATCTCCGGGTTGCGGAAGGCGTAGATAATGGGGTTGATGATGGAGCTGCAGATGGCGGGCAGGGCCGTGGCGTACGTGTAGACGGCCGGGTAGCGTGTGTCGGCCACCAGTGAGTACATGGCGAAGGGCACCCAGCAGAGGGCGAACGTGCCCAGGATGGCCGAGAGCGTACTCACGCCCTTGGTGGTGGACGAGGCGTGCGAGGCGCTCATGAAGTGGCGCTGCACGGCGATCTGCTGTGCGTGGCGGAAGGCGATCTTACAGATCTGCAGGTAGAGCTGCAGGATGAGCGCGAAGACGAGCAGGAAGGAGACGGCGAGCGCCGCCGCGTTGCTCTTGTTCACCGGGCGGCACACGCTGCACGTGGCCTCGTCCTCCAGGCAGTTCCAGCCGAGCGCGGGTAGCGCGCCGAGCAGCGCGCTCGTGAGCCACGCCAGCGCCAGCACTGCGTACGTAAAGGTGGCGGCGCGCTCCGTGTGGTACGTCAGCGCGCCGTACAGCGACAGGTAGCGGTCCACGGTGATGGCGAGCACGTTGAGCACGGACGCCGAGAAGGCGGCGATGAGCAGACCCGCCGACAGCAGCGAGGCCACGCCCGGCTCGGCCACCGCGTACGCCACGGCGAAGTTCAGCACGAGCCCAAGGCCCGCGAGCAGGTCGGCGAGCGCCAGGCTCGCGATCAGCACGAAGGCGGGGGCGCGCGGCGCCGGCGCGTGCGCCACCAGCGCGATCACCAGCGCGTTCTCGCACGACACCAGCGTGCCAGCCACGCACAGCGCCACGTCCCACGGGTTCACGGGCACGGGCACGTCCGCGGCGCCGGCGACGGAGGGTGGCGACGAGGAGGCGTTCCTGCCCTCGGGCGCGTCCGGGACGGGGGTGGAGGAGGAGGAGGCGTTGGGGAGAGGGTTACTCATGGCTGCGACGGCGGCATCGGGACGAGGAGGAGGATGAATCACTGCCAGGAGAGAGAGAAAGAGAGAGAGAGAGAGAGGGAGAGAGAGAGACAGAAGGGCAGATAGAGAGAGAGACAGAGTGAGTGAAAGAGAGACAGAGGGGCAGAGAGAGAGAGAGAGAGAGATGGAGAGAGACATGGGGCAGATAGAGAGAAAGAGACAGAGGGGCAGATAGAGGGGGGAGAGAGAAGGGAGAAGGGGGGGTCATGAAAGAGATAAGAGTAGAAAGAAAGCAAAACAACTACCTTATGCGAAGTCTTGTCTAATCATCACTGATCATAAGGTGAAATAAGTGCAGTAACGGTCTACTGTAGTGATCCGAAAGGCTCGTCCATTAAGGACAGAGCGACGGTGAATGGGGGTAAATATGCTATTTTTAGACCCCATTCCATTTTTATCTACAGCCTCGCTGAGGAGAAAACCCGGGCTGCCCACTCAGAGACAGTCTACACTAAAGCCCTTCTTACACTTCCGACCACCGGAGACATACAGTGCGTGTTAATGATCCTCCGGAGAGGATCAGACGGGCGAACTGAAGGCACGTTGCAGACAAAGATTGACACCAACCGGAGAGTCCGAGCGGGTCTCCATCTCCCTCTCTCCTCTCCTCTTCTCTCAGGTGAAGGGAAGACGGGCTCGAGGCGGAGCGCGCGGCGCGGTCAGTGTCCGAGACCAGCTCGCTCTGCTCCGCTCTTATTCTTTCTTCTTCCGCGGTATCGATTCGTCTTACTTGGTTTTTCTTAGCCGGGGGGCTGGTGGGGGGAGAGATCGTCAGCCTTGGGTTGTCATTCCTCTAATAACGTTGGCGGTTGGCAGACAGCGGCGCCTGGTCGATTCGTCGTGATTGGTCCGAGGAAAATGACTCTCACTGCTGACGTCAAGACCCCCCCCCCGTTCATTTCTTCATTCTTGGTTAGGGCTGTGTGTGTGTGTGTGTGCCACGTCTGGTGACACACTGTTAGCAAGAAAAGGGTTCTATAGAGAACCAAATAAAGGTTCCATGACTGGTAACAATCCTTTTTGTTAGATATCCTACATTATTCTGAATACCTTAATCATAAATTTTTATATGACCATTTTCCAGCCTCTTTTTATCCTTTAGAACTAAACAGGCTGTTTTTTTTAACTGTGCCTTTAAGACTGATATATGTAGATGAGCTGTGTTCTGATTGGCTGCTCTGTCCTGTGCCCCATTCTAAAGGCAGTCAGGGTTCAAACACTCCTTATAGCGTCAGTGTGAATGGGAGGAGCTAAACAGCTGCAGGATGAATGGGTGTATATATGGGTGTACCCATTCAATACATATGCAGTATATATGTATATATACAGCATATGTATTGAAACGTGAACAATCTGTACACTGTACACATTTGAAAAAGATGGTTCTTCAAGGGTTCTTTAGTAAAAAAAATGGTTTGCATTTGCAGGGTTAAAGGGTTCTTAGCATCATGAAAGTGTTCTTCAGACTGATGGAGAATGCGTTGTATATGGTCCTATATAAAACTTTTTTGAAAAGGGTTCTTCTGTTGTTACAAGCTTGATCAAAAAAATAGTAGAATCCTTTTTGGGTTCATATTCTCCACATTCTCCATCAACCTGAAGAACCCTTTAATGATGAAAGAACCCTTTAAACATGCAAATGGTTCTTTGAGTGGTCATGGTTCTATGTAGAATCATTTTCTTTACTAAAGAACCCTTGAAGAACCATCTAGTTAAGAGTGTATTATTAAAATAAAAAAGGGAGGAAAAATTCAGTTTTGCACAATATGGACCCTTTTAAAAGATTCTTTAAAGAACCTCGTACAACCAGTTTTCCATCATGGCCGTTCATCTATTTAACCACGCAAATAACTGTTTATGTATTCAAATGGTTCTTTGAGTTGTCACGGTTCTGTACACAACCGCTGCTTTTATTAAAGAGTCCATATCATTGAAATCTGAATTTTCCTTCCCTTCTTGAACTGTTGGCATGTTAACATTGTTAAAGTTTCATAAAAATATAGCGTTCACTCCCCACTCCATACGGTGCATATATGGAAACTAAGCTTGAATTGTTTGAATTCATTGTTTTTGTGACGTCACAAAAACCTGCACATTTACACATATCCCCCTGTTTCTCCCCACCCATTCACACTGATGTTATAAGGAGTGTTGCAGCCTGGACCTCTTTTTGAATAGGGCTGATATGGGGTAGCCAATCAGAACAGAGCTCATTTGCATATATCAGCCTTAACAATAAATTAAGGCTGTTTTTGAGACATAAAAACACAAATTTAGGATATGGGCCTTTTTTAAGGTGGCACGGTTGGTCTCAGTTCCTTGGGTAGCAGGTTGGAGACCTAAGTCCAGATGACTACAGCTGTCAGTGTACTCATAACTCAATAAGCTCACCTTATTGCTATTGATGTTATGCTGTAGGCTGGATGATATTTTTGTTGGTTAGATTTAAAATGATGCACACATACAGAAGTGTGTTCAGTAACCATAAAGCTGAAATAGGTTGAATGAATCCTGTATTTTCCCATAAAAAGTTGAACCGTCCTGTATATATTGGTTTCAACCATGTGTGGAATCTGTTGATTACTGGTTTAAACCATTCTGATGTTAATTAATTAATTAAAAAAATAGATACTGAACACACTTAAAAAGATGGTTCTTCAAGGGTTCTTTAGTCAAGGCAGTGGTTATATATACAATATACATATACAAAATATACAAACTGGAACAGACCCTTTTGCATGCTTGAATGGTTCTTTGCATGATCAGATGGTTCTCCAGATTGATGGAGAATGTGTTGTACATGGTTCTATACGGCACCAAAAAGATTCTTATACACTCTTAAAAAGATGGTTCTTTAGTGAAGAAAATGGTTATATATCGAACCATAACAATCAGAGAACACTTTGCCTGATTAAAGGGTTCTTTGCATGATTAAAGGGTTCTTCAGATTGACTAAGAATGTGCTGTGTGTGGTTCTATATAGAACCTTTTTAAAAGTGTGCATATAGAACCAAAAAGGGTTCTTTGATTGTTACCATGTCAAGCTTGTAACAATAGCAGAACCCTTTTTGGTGCTATATATAACTTTTTTCAAAAATGTTCTATATAGACCCATCTACAGCACATTCTCCATCAATCTGAAGAACTCTTTCAGAATGCAAAGAACCCTTTAAAGCGTTCATGGTTCAATATAGAACCATTTTCCTAACCTTTGAACCTTTGAAGAACCATCTTTTTAAAGAGTGTATTGTTACAATGTTAAGCTTGTAACAATAGAAGAACCTTTTTCTACTTTTAACCTTTTTTCGGTGCTATATAGAACCAAATACAAGACATTCACTATCAATCTGGAGAACCATTTCACCACGCAAAGAACCATGGAAATGGTTCTATATAGAACACCTGGTTCTAAATAGAATTATTGCCTTTGCTAAAGAACTCTTGAAAACTCATCTTGTTAAGTGTGAATGTTTTAGACGGCAGGCGGCGCGGTGCTGTCCATGGTCCTGATCGCAGTTCATCTACGCGGCCACTAGGGGGCAGCACAGTCTGCGGCGTTAATTCGGGTAAAGGCGTTGGGCGGAAATCGTCTGGCAATGTCATTTACTGTGACTTTGTGTGTCTGAATGGCGTTATGCTCACCGAATGACATCGGCGAACGTGTGTGAGCGGCGTTCCTGCGTGCTCTGAAGCAGAAGGGCGCTGAGCAGCGCTGCTGAGCTGATGGAGCTGTTCTGACAGAGCTCTGCCTGCTGCCACGAACAGGGTGTGGAGGCTTTTCTACGCTCTGCCGGCTGTGAAGAGCTCTACATGTGGGGCACTTCACCTGGAAGAGAATACAAATGTGTTTGGTGTGCAAATTTAGCTTATTTAGTTTAGCACTGGACATACGAGGCTAACGTTGCTAACAAACAGTAAAGGTCAATAGTCACCCAAATCGTTTTGGTAAATATATCCTGCTGAAACCTAATCTGGGTCTTTATTTTTTTCGTTTAGAAATAAAAAGTTTGATTTAGTTTAATGCAAACACCGTTAAAGTTTAAAAATGTACCATTCATCAGTCCACACGGCCCATACATGGAAACTAAGCTGCCAAAACAGGCTGTTTTGAATTTCTTGTTTTTGAGATGTCATCTGATTTTTGATTATATCAAAGTGCGCCAGTGGGCGGAGAAAGGAAAAAGCATTGTGATTTCCATTTCAGGTTGATTTCAAAGGCCAAGTAACATTTTTTTAAAAATAAAAAGCCATTTTTTTCTAAAAGGAGATGAACAATTGTCTAAAATTAATGATGACTGTTTTTAGTGCATAAACCTTAGGAGAAGAAAATAAACTACACAAAAGGAATGGTCCATTGTAACTAGTGATGTTTGTGGCTTAGTTAAGTGTTTCGGAGTCATCTATTGTAATTAACTTCTTTGTGACGATGGATATGATGAATTTGAGTCTCTTTTTTTCATGAATTGTCAGATTCACTCATCAACTTGGTAAGAGATCACAGAAGGATATGAGGTATGATAACCAGTGAGAAAGGTTTGACGTTAATAAAATACATATTACAATGTTTGAGGATTGTCTTAATATTAAATTATAGAGAAGATAAAGATAATATAAAAAAGACAACACTTCCAGCTGCATCTCCAGAATAAGAACTGTTAAGCCAACTTTTCTGCCAGCAGTCTTGCTGATGTTACAGTGATACATGTTTACATCATGCCTTACATTCCACCATGGCCGTAACTCGCTGAGGACACTGAGGTCTGGACCTTGGTGGTTTCAGAGGGATTTGTTTACTCCATTCGTGAGATTTAATGTAGAAACAGTACTGCTCTGATAAACCAGTAGCCTACTCAGAGGCCTAGCCTTCACAGGCCTGCCCAAACAAATGGGAATAGTATATTTATTTTGATAATTTTTTAAGATATTCATTTGTTTTCCATGAGTGCTGTCGCTTTGTTATGGCCAATTGAATCATTATGCTTTAAGTCATGCTTCACCTTATTTTCTCAGCCCTCCAATCACTGCTCAGCACCTGTTGCTATCCACAATTACCTCAAGCCTTTGGTTCGCTGTTACCGTGATTTGCATGAGGTCATCGAGATCATTGGGAGTTTATTAGGGGTTTTATGAAATTCAATGTGAAAACAGTGAAGACACTACACAATCATCAGTGACTGGGTCTCAGCTGACCTCAGAACAGCTGCGGTTCGGCCATAGACTGAACTGACCGCTGTGTTTATCTGTTTAAAAAATGTTATGCTAACACTAGCCAGAGCAGCTTTGACTTCTTGAGATGTAACAGGTTACAGGTATGCAGCAACATACTATAGGCTAACATACAGCATGGCTAAGATAAAATACGAGAGTTTATGAGGGTAATTTTTTATTTGGACCATTCCTAATGTTGCTAGCTAGCTCAGCATGCTTTAGTCTCGCTCCAGTAGCTGCTCAGTTTAGGCTACAGGCTCTGTAGTTGCTATATTAGCAATTAGATGAGAAATTAAAGTTGTATTGTGTCACCAACTCAACCAGAATGAGAAAGTTCACGGTTAGCTAGCATATTGATGGTGCCATATCATGTAATGTAATTCAGAAATTAGCAGATATATTTGGATGTATTATGTTTGGTTAACTGTATGAATTTCTTCCTGTTAGCTGGGGTTTGGTAAAGACAGAGCTTTATAAAGTATTTTTAATGTATGCTTTTTCAGTAATGTCTGAGGACAGAGAAGGAAGAGAGACAAAGAGACAGAGGTCAGTAAAATACAATCAACGTAACTATCACCTGACTTAGTACATATTGGTTTTAGCATGTTTTCATCTTAAATAAATAAGTAAATAAATAGTTAAATGATTAAATTAAACAGGGTGGCAAGTTTGTGGGACATTAATAGCAGAATATGGAAGAATGGAGGGATGGGAAAGGGATAAATGAAAGGAAACGGTACATGACAGTTATGGATGAGTAAAAACGAAGCAACTGACAGGTGAAATACATATATTGGGCTGTCAGTTGAGTCACTGTATGATGTAGGTCACTAAAAGGTCCTCTATATCACTCAGGATTCCTTTGTATCAAACACACCTGATTCAGCTCATCAGCTGAGTGACAGTTTGTAAAATGATGATTGACACGCCTGTCAGCCAATCACAATCGTCTCTAAACGTTCCGCCCTCCATCAGCGACTCCTCTAAATAAACCTGCAGTGAGAACAGAGGCTCCACGAAATTAGTAAGAATTATTAGAGTAAGTAATGGAGTTAAAGTGTTACTGAGGACAGTTTAATTCAGACACACACTGTCTGAGCGTCTGAAGGGTGGAGCTGCTTTTATTTCATGCCTGAAGCTGAAAAAGTTCGGGACTAATCTGTGGAAGACCGCCCTCCCAGCTCAGTGACAGAACTACAGTTACTCTGAGGTGAGTTAAGATAAACTTTATCTCGGTCAACTTTTCCATCTGTATTTCCTATAAAAGATTTTAATATGATGATACTAAATAACGTTACAGACAAAATGTTAAGATCATTTAGCTAACTAGTTAGCTAGGTTAGCTTCATTTAGCCGCTCACAGTTAGCTTGATAAATCAGCTCCAGTGTTAGCTTCAGCATTAGCTCTTCTGAAGGGGGTGGTGAGATTAGCTAAAAGCTGCCGCTCGTTAGACCTGGAAACCTGCGGCTTTAGCTTTAGCTTTTAACTGTGCAGGAACAGGAAAAACCTGCTTTACTTTTAATGTAAGTCAATGGAACCAGACTGCTTTCCAAGTAATTTTGGGCCATTTCTGTTGGTCCATTCATCATGAATTTTACATACAATGTAGAGGACCATGAGTACTTTCAAATTATGTCAAAAACCGAAAAACCTCAAAAAAGGAGATTTTCTTACGACAACACAGTTTTTATATATTCAGTTCTGAAACATGGATGTCTGCTCTGAACAACTTGCATTATTTTTGAAATCTCCAGCCCTGATTGAGTGAACTCACTTTAAGTTGCTAAGTAGCTAGTTAGCTAGTTTACTCTGTCTATAGCCAATGTGTCATGTGACACAATCCTATCCGGCCGCAAAAATATTTTAGTTTTCTATTAATATTAGCTCGTTTCACAATGCACTGCACTACAGTCCCCAGCATGCACTGCAGCGTAATGTGCTCCGACGCCTACCCCAACAACAGTCAATGGGACAGCGGTTACACTTCAGTTCTACACAGTTCTACACAGTTCCACACCAGACGTATAACCAAACACACTAACTGCAGTTCAGCCAGTATAAATACCTAACGTCAGCTCAGCAGCTCTGAAATTGAGCCCAGTGAACTTGCGGCCAGGTGTCTAGTTCAAGCAAACAGGTAGGTTTAAAAGACAGAGCGTTTCAGTTTTGAATATTTCAAGTATTCGCGTAATATTTCAAGGTCTACTAAAAGTGCTTATATTTTACTGTTGAAATTTTTGCTTATTTTCAATAAACAGTGGTCAGTTTGGGTTATTGCAATCCGAATGCCACCCCCTCAAATGTTCACCCCACCTTGTGCATAGCTGAATGTAGGTAGGCCTACTGCTTCAAAAAAGCTCTCAAGTAAGAATCTCATTTCAAACAACTTCTGCTGCTACTTTTGAGTTTGCCTGGCAGCCTTATTTTCTTGAAAGTAATTGCAGTTTTACAGTGTAGAAGGCACTGTAAAATATAAGCTAAAGGCTTGTAATTAAGGTATAATAAAGTGCTACTGTGTATATGTGGGGGGGACTATTTAAACTCAAGAACTGTACAGTGAATTCTTTACTTTCCGGTACATAATGTCCAAATAGAAGTGTAGCCACAGCAAAGCCCATGCCGTATTGGCTAAGTACATTTCAGCAGATTGTACCAGGGTGTTGCAACATGTAGCCCTTCCTCAGGTTGCAAGAGTATTTGATTGCAGCTCATGTCATGATTGGCTCAAATGAGAAAACAAGCACACTCACATACAGCATTTTCTGCTTCTGAACCACTTCATGGGCATATAAGATCAACAGTCCCACATATATAAACACACTATATTTACATTAACAAAGACTTTAAAACAGCAATTGGCAACAAATCACTGAATTTCCTTAAAAAAAGAAAAAATAATGAATTAAATTGACATTAATAATTGGGCTCTGTCTGCAAACAGTGGTGCAATGCTATGCACATTCCTGCTGCTTTGCTTTGGGGTACATAGAAATCAAAGTTAGGAAGAATTAAAGGGAGTCTACACTGTGTGAACTGAAGGTTATTTTATCTGGTAATCTTCTGTTCTGTACTTCCTGTTAGTAGTGGGTGGTACGGCCAAAAATTTGTAATGCTATAAGTAAAATTTCTGACTCAAACCTAATTTTGTAGGTGATACAGTGGCTTTTTATTCTAGGGATGTCTCTTTACTTTAAAATAAGAAGCATTTTTCACAACCAAAATAATTCTGAAATATTTTTATAGAGCAAAATAATAAAACTGAACAATATGTAGATAAACCTATGTCAGTATTGCCTTCTGACACTAGCCCCACAGGACCAGCAAAAACGGCGTTAAAGGTTGTTGATGGCATTCTGTTTTCTACAGTGCTGAAGTTGACTTCTTATTCGCCAGCTTTTTGTCCAAATTTTCCGTTCCACCTTAAATGGAGCACCAGTTACATCCTGGTATCTGAATGTAATTGCTGCACCATTTAGGAAAAATAAAGAAGTGGAATACTACACTACTACTTCCCGAATACCCTTGGTGCATAACTGCGTTTTAAAATCCATATTCTCCCTCATAAAACCTCTTAAGACTTAATAGTAAATTGGTGCAGGAACCCTAGTAATATTTTTCCCACTTTATAGACCTGCACATATTTGTACTGCTAATTTAACTCGTTCGTTGAATAAAAGGCTTAAGTTCAAAATACAATTTTATCGGAAAAGAGATACAAGCTAAATAAGTTGAAGTTGTTTTGTTTGAGATAATACAGACTTGTACCACTCTTTACTTAGTATTGTATGTATTAATTTCAGTAATTTCAAAAGCTTAGTAAATTCTAAGCTGTTCTACAGTATTGATCTAAGTTAGCTAGGTTACTATCGCTTGGATGAGCTAAAGCTACTGTCAGTGCTAAGCTACTGTGAGCTATTGTGAATAACGTTATTAAAGTCTGAAGGTCTCCACAGGTTGTCACAAGTTTCTTGAACATGATGTCTAAAATTGTTAGCTAGCAAATGGTTAGCTACTGCAAGTTCCAAATTGCCAAATTTGCCAAAACTTGGCAGATTTGTAATGAGCTAAATGTGTGGCTAACTAACTCACTTAGCTCACCCGAACCACCAGTGTAAGCATAACTAACAAAATATTAACTAGGTTAGTTAATAGTTAGTTAACACCAGCTCAAACGTTTCACACAGAATAATACAAGTGTCAGTAGTTTACCTCAGACATTAACATGCACTTAATAATCCGATCATTATCAGATTTTGGCAGTTATCTGATGATTCAAGTGGTCATGTGAATGGCATACTCTGATTTCATAGACTGGATAAAGGCATAGCAATACGATTAAGACTTGGATTTTAGCTCAGTAATCAGATTTTTCAGCGCATGTACACCCTTACTTGGATTTCCTTCATTTTCTTAGTCTGCACATTTGCAAAAACAGATCGCTGTACTAGAAACAGCAAGAGACATTTAATACAGCGCCCATGAGATGGCATCAAGCAAGGCTGAAACCAACTACATCCTTGACGAAATGAAGGATTTAAATATTCATCTTTACTGTAATTAATTTTAATTGCAATTGACATTTAAATTGCCTTTTTTATTCATTATATGCAGTTATTAAAGTACAATCCTATATAGGCAAATTGACTGATTAGCTATCTGTGCAGTTGACTGATTAGCTATCTGTGCACTCTGTGTCGATACTCAGTAGCTTCTAACTGACAGCAAAAACAGCTCAAGCTCAAATAATCTTATTCACCCAACTCAGTGGATGAAAATACACTCAATTCATATTCTGCTTTGTACATATAAACATATGACTGTGAAAGCTAACAGCTTTGGAAAATAATTGCGTAATAATTGTTACAGGCCTACTAGCTGG